TTATCAATACCGGATGAGCAGCCACAATTCATCTCCGTGGGGCTGTGATGCATGATGCTGTGCTTGTCCGTATCACTGGCACCAGATGATGTGAGTTTGCACGGAGCAAACACGAACAAAACCGCGGGTTGTAGTTCTGCGGAATCGGTCGAGGCGGAGGATGTATAGGAGTTCAATAGACGCGCGTCCTTTGGCACCTTGCCGCGCCGCGCCGCGTGCGCAAGCTTGCGCACGACATACTTTGAGACCCAGTACATGAACTACAATGTTACTTTACGTTGTAACCTCGCATGCAAAGCACTGTACAGCTAACGGCGATGTGGATAAATGGCATTGCAGCGCTATGTACAGCAGTCCGCAGCAGGTTTGACTGTTCCATGTATCTTCTCCTTAGGGGTCGGGCGAGCGCTTCCCGCTGAGCTCGCCACCACCAAACATGTCTCGGTTTTGGGGAGAATCAGCTTGGGCGCTTCCTGCTTTCATTCGTGTTTAAAGAGTCTTTACACTGATCTAATCGTGCCGCCTGCTTTCGATGTGCGCGCCCAGACAGCGTCAGGGCTCCTACCCGCAGCGCGGGAAATGTCCAGCGGACACCCGATCGGAAGAGGTCTCAGCCGCGCTGCCACCGACGTGAGTGGCAAATGGCGTGTTGACGTGAGTGGCGAATGGCGTGTGCCGAGTGGGACCCCTCTTCGAGGAGTACGCAGAGCGCGGGACAGTTAGGGGTGCAGCGCACTTCTTCTCGTCTCTCATCTCGGCTACTCTGAGGTTGGTTCTTTTGCACAGCGTGCATCTCCTCTCGTTTCTCATCTCGGCTATCTTATAGGCTTATTTAATTTACCCTCCCCCCTCCCTTATTTTGTTTTTGTTTCCTGGTCGTGTGTTCGTCGTGCTTTTCCCTGTACTGTCCTCCGCTGCCCCGCCCCGTCGCGCGTGGGCGCCTGCAGAATTTACTTAAGGCTGTCCTCCCGGGGACAGCCGGATTGCGTGTAAACTCCGTGTTTGACGTCACAAACTCGCAGCGCGAGTTCCTCCCATATCTTCAGGTGAGACGGCAACGATTAGTAACATATAAGTAGAAAACGCCATACATCCCATCCCACAGACTGACGTCTGTTTGCGGAAAGGTGCTTGGGCGCTCATTCTGTGGTTGGCCATCAGCTTTGTGATTCGGACTTGAGTTTTGGGGATCTGACCTGAGCCTGCTCGGCAGCTGTAGGGTGGCGGTTCTCTGCGATTCTCCGTTTCCCTGAAGCCAAGGTTCGGGGCCTTCGTTTTGACTTGCCATAGCGCCAGGCAAAAAATTACATGGGGAAGGCGATCTGGAAGTCAGTTGAAGGTTATTGCTTATCTTCCGATGCACGTGGTCTGGCGCCGGGCGACGCGCGCCACACATATGCGCTCGCTCGTTCGCGTCCCCGCGCGTTCGTTGCGTCACTTGCCTGCCAGACCGTACATATTCGCTACACCTGATCCAAATTCTGTTATTCATGTTCAATACCAACCTTCATACTGTATTTTTTCGGGGTGATCAGCGGGAAGCGCCCAAGCTGATTCTCCCCAAAACCGAGACATGTTTGGTGGTGGCGAGCTCAGCGGGAAGCGCTCGCCCGACCCCTAAGGAGAAGATACATGGAACAGTCAAACCTGCTGCGGACTGCTGTACATAGCGCTGCAATGCCATTTATCCACATCGCCGTTAGCTGTACAGTGCTTTGCATGCGAGGTTACAACGTAAAGTAACATTGTAGTTCATGTACTGGGTCTCAAAGTATGTCGTGCGCAAGCTTGCGCACGCGGCGCGGCGCGGCAAGGTGCCAAAGGACGCGCGTCTATTGGACTCCTATACATCCTCCGCCTCGACCGATTCCGCAGAACTACAACCCGCGGTTTTGTTCGTGTTTGCTCCGTGCAAACTCACATCATCTGGTGCCAGTGATACGGACAAGCACAGCATCATGCATCACAGCCCCACGGAGATGAATTGTGGCTGCTCATCCGGTATT